TGTATCAAAATGAAATAGAAATGGGAACGAGGATAAAGCTATGGGACAGCAAGAAATTCCAACGACTACGCTACAAAAATTCAGAGTGGAGTGGAAGCAGTAGTATTCTTGGCTGGCCTGGACTATAATTATGTGGAAATTTAAGCATTTTCTCTTCAGCGGTTGTTTTATTCAGTATAGTTACTCAAAATGGGGGCTGAAGGCGATGCAGAACGAAAAGAAAAGCATCCTCCATGCATTGTAAGTATAAAATCGCAGCTTCTTAACATACTACTCATCTGAAATAGTATTTTTTTAGGGGTAGTTCATTTTAGGGTAGTCCATTTGGGTAGTCCTTTAGGGTAGTCCATGAACTAGGGGTCAGTGTTTTGTCCATTGCCGTATAACCATGTATTTAGCTATTATTCCATGCATGCATGTTGGATATGAGATGGTAAATAGCCAATGAGGAGCGTAGTGCTGAGTTAGCCATAACTATCTTATATCCAACAAGCATGAGTGGAATGATTATTTATTAAAAAACGTCCCCAAATTATAGAAAACTGAAAATTTAAAAATATAAATGCTCCTCAAAAAATTACGCGGCCGCTTACCAGATTTGTGGAGCAAGGTATGGTGGGTCATATACATGATATCTTAAAGCCATTGAAAACTCCTGAGATGCATTATCCAATGATTCAGTTTTAAATAGAATAAGAGAATAATCTAGCAATTGGGCCAATTTATGTCTTTCATAATAAGCAGAATTAGTTACTAAGTGATACACAAACCAAATAACACATGACATACAAAATCAACTTAATTTAGGGTGGAGACATCATTTTTTTTAAGGGGGGAGTGGGCAATTACCAAAAAATGTTCCTGCGCAAGAAAAAAAAAGGAAATTGTGCAAAGCAAGACAAGAAAAAAAAAATGCATGGCACAAATTACTGAAAAAAAAAACTTTTGCTCAACCTGAGGTTGGAAAAAATTATAGCAGCAGTGATAGGGAAAATTGCACATTAATATCCCACCTTCAAATTTTACTGGTCCATTGCTGGAGAAATCTGACCATGCAGAACAACAATAGTTATAATTATCATTATTATAATTTATAACCTGCAGACTTCCATGTAATGCTCTGTCGGCCATAAAAAATTACATTTACTGCGCCTTTCAATAACATGCGGACTCTTAAATTCAAAGCTCAACCGACAACTGTGTTTTCTGCTACCATCAATCAAATGTTTGGCGGCTCCTCCCAGCTTCCGACTGCTGCCGAGCACGCAGTAATCAAATTGTTGAGCACAGTTCAGACAACGAAACAGTGCTGGGCAGTAGTTGGAAGCTGGGAGGAGCCACAAAACATTTGATTGATGGTAGCATTTGTCAGTTGAGCTTTGAATTTTAGAGTCTGCATATTATTGAAAGGTGCAGCAAGAGCACTTCTGTGTTTACATAGCCACATCTAAAGTTATGCAAACCTGAGATGCAGTCAAGGATTTGTATAACTTTGGCGAATTGTCGCAACCCCCAAGTGTTCACATGAGACAAAGTAAACACAGAAAAAGTAAAAAGTACTTTTAATTATTGCTGTTATAAAATATTTCTCAAGAATAAACATGAATCTAAAATATGACAACCATGTCTACATACTCTCATCTAAACACCTATGGACCAAAAAGAACGTGCTTAGTATCTCAGTTGTTTAATTTATATAAAGAAATTTAAGTAATACATGTTTGTATACAGAATCTATACTGTGTAATTCATGGGTGGTACATTTGATTGACGATCTCCAGTCAACTTCTCAGTTGGTGAAAATGAATTTTTTGTCACAGATTTTGTTACTTCTTTATCAGGATGCTGTATTATCTGTGAAGTTTTCTCCATCAGGACATTTGATTGCCTCAGCATCAAGAGACAAAACTGTCCGGCTTTGGGTTCCGAGATTAGTGGATGTTGTTTGATGCAATACCAAATTCTCAGAACCAACATTACAAGAAATGCCCAGGAATCACTCAGGAGAATTACTGTAACAATCATTTACATCAAATTCATGTGTGGAGATGACAAGAGAATGCTAATTAAGCAAAGACTATGCATGTTAGAGACAATCTTCACACAACTACAGTTGAAACTCCCTAATTCAAACTCTCAGGGAAAACTTTAAGTATTTCAAAATAGCAGGAGTTAAAAATACATGTAACTGATGGTAAATGACTGAAGGGCAAATCCAAGCCAAATGGTTTTGACTTTGAAATAATGGAGAATTTGAAAAAACCGACTTCAAATTAGCAGGCTCCACCTGTGCATGTATTAAAGAAACAAACATCTAACCCAGACTTCGTAGCATTGGCGTCACAGCTTGAGGGTTATGTGGGGTTTCCTGTGCCAGTGAAGCCAAAAAATGAACAAGAATATCAACAATCCCGCCTGAAACAAACACCGGTACGCAGCTGGGTTTTGACGTCAAGTATGATAGTACCCAGGCAACTTCTACAGCAACATCTATGGAGCTGTTTCCTGGAGTTAGCAAATTGATGAGAATAGGAGCTATGCCTGCTTGTAGCAACTCTTCAGCTACGATTTGCTCTCCTCTGGCAAGATTGGATAAGGCAAATGCTGCTGATTGTACAACTGTAGATATTGGGGACTTGAAAAGAAATGAATGAAAACAAATAAATCTATTAGTAATCAGTATAAATCTACTAGCATTCTATCACAAATGCTGTACTCTGATTGGCTACGCTAATATACATTCATTTTCCCCTCCCTCTCCCATGTAGGAAAGGTAGTTCAAAGTCATCCCCAAGAAAAAATATCAAAGTTCCAGCATGACAGTACATGTTTATTTTCTGACCAAGTGCAGACGAGGTTAAGTCTGTGTTCGAGTCTAGTAGAGGGTTCTACATAAGCTTTTGCAATCCAACATCTCACCACTATTTTTAGGGTCAATCTTGGCATTCCCCAGTCAGATTATTTATCATAATCCTGCCTGGGTTAGAATAGCAGTTCTCCACATAAGGTCTGTAGCATGTGATTTTCTGTTTTTAATCCCACATGCCACCTTCAATTTCAAAACTATCCAGCACCCCCTCTGTCAAAATGAGAAAATCCTGCTTCCGCCACAGCATTTTTATTCCACGCCCACCATTAAAATTTGTCATCCTGCATATCGCCTCCATATTTACCCTCATCCCTGATCATGCCAAGCCTCTGTAGGACCCTCTGTAGTAGCCCATCAGGCTGGCACTTATATTACATGTATCCCTGATTCACATAGCATGAGCTCATTAACAGTATTTCCATTCTACCCTGGATGGGCTCCTCCTGCGTCATAGGTTTACCCCCTTCTCCCTAGTATAGAAATTGGCCAGTAACCATTAATATGCCTGGGTGGAGAGAGGGACTGTGTGAACACACCAGAATGACTCCAGTCTGGCCAGGGGTTGCACCCTGACTGCCTGATCCATATCTGGAGTCCAGCACAATATCCATTGCGTCATGGCATTTCTCACTCTGCAGAGGAAAGCGAAGGAGGGGCCGCCCAAAGATCACATGGTGGTGGATGGTGGAGAAAGAAAATAAGCAGATGGAAAAACATCTGGAGTGCCAATCGAGTCGTGGCAAAGAACTGGCAGATGTGGAAAGATTATGTTGTTGCCCTACACGCCACAAAGGTGTAATGGGCACGGGTGAGTGAGTTAACGAGCGAGTGTCTCCCACAACTGCAGATAAACATACTGTACTTATAAATACCTTCAAAAGTTTGACCATCGGAACAATAATCCCCTGAGCCCGCAAAATCTCTCTACACTCCTGAGAATCGCCAGAGAAGTTACCTAGCGCCCAGGCACATTGATCTTGAAGTTGCACATTCTGTCCACTAAGATAGGTGATGAGATATGCGGCAGAGGCTTTCAATACTTTCATTGTATCGTCGTGAACTCCTGTAGCTAAATTAGTGATGCACCAAGCCGCTTCCAGTTGAAGCTGAGCGTTGTTGCCCGTCAAGTGTCCTACCAAAGCTCTCAAGCTGTTGTCCACCGCTAGAAAGGCGCTGATGAGTTCACTGCCTTGTGTAAACGCCTTTCGTAGGCTTTTAAGGCTGTTAAGAATATTTTTGTCAGATTTCTGAATAGTTCTGGCTAACTCTTGAACTTGTTCAACGGTGTAGTCTTCAATTTCGCAATCATTCTCGATTTCGGAGAAGCGAATTCGTTTCGAGCTCAGCAATTTATCGCGCTTCTCTTTGCGAATTACTGCCTCTTGATCGCGTCGTTTACTTCTCTGAGCCGTTACATTATGGCCTGATGTCTTATACTTATCTTTCCTATCCATTTTCTTGGCACTATTAAATCGGTCAATCGTCAAAAGATGAAGTGTTCCAAACCAGGTGGTGCTGGTTCCAAACTATCGGCCATGTTGGAATTATAAAGCCCGCAATTTCTACCGCTCTCTCTGCGGTCTTCCCCATGAGCATAACAACGACCTAGCCGCCATATTTGAAACGAATACAACAAGAAAGCTTCAATGATCAGCATTGTTAGGGCTTTTATACTAATTTTAAGGCATAAGTAACTTCGTTAACTACTAGAGCAGAAATGGCATCGAGTTTGGTAAGTAGTATATACGGCTTGGTTGAGAAATCTTGCGAAATTTAAACAAATTAACGCGAATGATTTATTCGTAGTTGTGTGAAAAAAAAAAATTCCTACTTGACTTGTTTTTCGATCTTTCTGCAGGAAGATCCAACTCTCGAAAGACATTTCAAAGGTCACAGAGATACGGTGACAAGCGTTGATTTTAATCCAAACATGAAACAGTTAGGTAAGCTAAATAATTATGAAACGAAATCAGAGGTGTTGTAAGCTTTAAGTTAAATTAACAATGATCCAGTTTCATTTACTGCAACAATTTTGAAGAAAGCTTGTGGTTTCCTAGAAGTCCAGGTAAAACCTTTGAGGTAAAAAAATCAGTGACGTACCTCGTCAGTACTGTACGCAGAGAACCCAAAGAAGTGCGTAGTTAATGGTCAAGAACCTTGGGAAACTGACTAATGTAATTGGACACCCTAACTGAAAACAAAATTGGAAACAAGAATTGTACTTTTGATTTGATACATCAGCAACATAAGTACATAAGTAACTTACATGTAACTGATAATCCAATTATTTTTTTCCCACTGATCAGTCAAAGGAAAATCTGTAATTAAAATTGATGGTAGATTTACAACATAGTCTCATGGTATATATATTAGACGTGATTTTTGTATGCATGCTGAGCAATTGGATTAAATTATTAGGACTAACTTAGCATTTGTTTTCATTTTTGTGTAGTAACTGGTTCTATGGATTCAAGTCTAATGATCTGGCATTTTAAACCACACATGCGAGCATACAGATTTGTTGGTCACAAGGTATGACATGATATGTACATAGACTTTACTGTAATTTACATGGATAACCAGGTGATAGACAAAACACTGACCCCTAGTCTATGGACTACCCTAATGGACTACCCAAATGGACTACCCCTAAAAAATTCTATTTCAGATGAGTGGTATGTTAAGAAGCTGCAATTATATACTTACACTGCAGGGAGGATGCTTTTCTTTTCGTTCCGCATCGTCTTCAGCCGCCATTTTGAAACGTAGACTCAAATCAAATCAAATATTCTGTGGACAACTCAATCTTGCTCCCATGTGATTCAGTAGCTCAGTGTTTCTCGAACAGATGAAATGATCTTCAGGATGTTACTCATGATTTGTTTTGCTTGTTTTGTGCCGAAAATTATGGCACAGAAGCAGCTAGTCTTCTGGT